CTTCGAATTGTTTATGAATATGCTCATTTAAGTTTTCATCCCAATCATATTTTAATTACCAAAGTTTTTGTATAAATAATTTTGCGATTAAATAATTTTTTTTACCATTCTTTTAGTTATTTTCTCATTTGATAATATATTTATTGAGAATTGGAATTCATTCTATTTTGGATTCCATTTCAATCCTAGTGTTTTTATTGAATTGTTTTCTGTTGAATATTACGCTTTTCTTTAAACATTTTTGTAACATCCTAATACTACGTTTTGGGATAGAAACTTTTATTGTTAATTTTCAAACACTTGTCTTATGTTAAAAAGGTCTCTCTTGCTTCCGGTTTTTATTCCGAAAATACTTTTGTTCTTTCACGTGTTAGTTAAACATCACATCACATGTATATATCTTTATTCATTATATTATATCAAATTCAGTAGAAGTGATTTAATAAAGTAATCCATTGATATCAAGTTAAAATATCACAACAGGTTATGGGCCCAGTGTGCTAAGGTAACATCATATTTTTTTTGATTTTCGTATGGAAAACTCGCATCAGAAAGTACAAAGTACTTTGGTAGCCGACTCAGCTATTGGAAACGACTTAAACGATTCAATTGAGGTTGTAATTTTTGACACAACAATCAGTGAACATTCTGTCGATATGTCAGAAATGAAGTCATATCAGATTCATCGCTTTAATGGTCAGAACTATCAGCTATGGCGCCGGCAAATGATCATCTACATGACATAAAATGAACTTAAAAGGTATATATTTGGCACTGAAATTAGAACTACAGCCAACGCAACAGTTTGGGACGAAAAAGATGCTGAAGCACAAGTATTCTTAATGAGAGGTATCGAACTAGATCAACTTAAATATTTGAGTGATTGCGAGACAGCTGCACAAATGTGGTCCAGATTGCAAACTGTTCATTCAGAGAACAATGACCAATCAGCGCAAGTACTGTTGGAAAAATTCATTACATGTAAGATGGGTAAGGAAGAAAGTATGATTGACTTTATTGCATCAATAACTTCACTAGCGCAACGTTTGAAAGATATAGATCTTGAACAAAAAGTGCCGATGATAATAGCAAAGATTTTGAGTAGACTTCCTGCAAAGTTTGATCATATACGCACTACTTGGTATGCTGTTTCAAAAAGCGATCAGAAAGTTGAAAAACTGACAGAGCATTTAGTAAACGAAGAGGCGCTTATGATTTTACGTTCAGCTGACACTCAATAAAATAGTACAATAAAATCTGCGTATATAGCAAAATCAGGTAAAAATCTCACAAATAACAACAACATCAGGTAAGTGCCATTATTGTCAAAGAGAAGGTCACTGGGCAAGAGAATGCCGTAAAAAGCAAAGAGAACAATACACCAAAAGTGAAAGACACTCACTCGTAGTACGAAAAGAAGAAAATGATAAAATGACAAATACAATTGACAATAGAAATGCACATTTATTTGTTCTACATAAAAGTTCAAGTACTGAAAGCAAAAATTTAAATATTTCTTATGCAGATTCTGGAGCTACTGATCACATGTCGTTTCAGAGGGAGTTATTTATGAATTATATTGAATTGCCAAATGCAGTATATCATGTTCGACTTGGCGATGGGCGAAATTTAAGTGTTGCTGGAAAAGGAAAAATAAAAGTAGAAGTTGCTGATGCTGTATACACAATTAACTATGTGTTATTAGTACCTGATCTTGATAAAAATTTTATTTCTATATCAATAGCAGCTAAATCAATGGATGTACAATTTGAAAAAGGAACAGGACGTGTGTTATTTATGAAAAACAATAAAATGATCGCAGAAGACAACGAACATAGCGGTTTTAACAGCTAGCAAGTACAAATTGAATTTGAAGCCACTTGCAGCAGCGTTTGCGGAACTTAATGTCGTTTGTTCTGATTCAATTAAACTTTGGCACGAACGAATAGGACGTGTAAATTTCAAAACGTTACGAGAAATGATTAATAAAAATATTGTTTCAGATTTGAAGGTTGGATCCATTCCAAAAGAAATGCCTTTTTGTAAAGGGTGCACATACGGCAAACAGCACAGGGAATCTTTTCCAAAAACAGGTGCAAACCGTGCGCAGCATGCTGCTGAAACTTTTCACGTTGATTTGTGTGGAAAAATGAGCACGCAGTCAATTGGTGGAGCAAACTATTTTATGTTGTTGAAAGACGACTACTCCAGATACTGCTTTGTATATTTTTTGAAAAACAAGACTGAAGTTATTGGGAAACTTATGCAGTTTATTGCAGATGTTCAATCTGATGGACATAAAATTAAAAGATTACGTTCAGACGGTGGTTTAGAGTTTTGTAATGATGATATCGAAAATTTTCTACTACAGCACAGCATCAAACATGAAATTACTACTCCGAGATCACCAGAACAAAATGGTTTTATCAAACGTCAAAACAGAACTATTGTTGAAAGTGCCAAAGCTATGTCGCATGCAAGAGACCTTCCATTGTACCTTCCTTCCTGTGGGGTGAAGCAACAAATACAGCAGTTTATCTTAAAAATCGAACATCAACTGAAGTTCTAGAAGGTTCTACACCTTATGAAAAATGGTTTAAAAAGAAACCTACAGTTAAGCATTTACGAGTTTTTGGTTGTGACGCATATGTTATTATTTCCAAAGATCAGCGCACCAAATGGGAGAAAAATGCAACAAAATGTGTTATGGTTGGATATAATGATTCTAGTAAGGCGTACAGGGTATACGATGCTCAAACTAAGCGAGTTTACATCAGAAGAGATGTCAAATTTGATGACAGATACAACGTGTACAACGAATATTGCGAATCAAAACAAACAATTTATGACGAAAACAACGTAACAGATGAAAAAGAAGAAGAAGAAAAAATAAAAAATGAAAACAACAAAAAATTTCAGAAAAAGGTTTATGAAAGTAACAGAGACGCATACGAAACGAGAAGTGCTACCAAGCAGAAAGCTAGAGAGCAACAAGAAATAAATGCTGAAGTCTGCATGGTACAATTTGAACTAACAAATTTAGATGAAGCCCTAAATAGTGAAGATTCAACTAAATGGACGGCAGCGATTCAAGATGAATTAGACGCATTGCACAAGAATAAAACTTGGACACTAATTGAGCCTTCAAATGACATGCACGTTATGACTAACCGATGGATTTTCAAGCGAAAATATAACTCTAGTGGTGAAAATGAAATATATAAGGCACGGTTAGTGGTCAGAGATTGTTCTCAAATACAGGGCGTAGACTACACGGAGGTGTATTCGCCGGTTGTCCGATATGAGGCAGTGAGAGCAGTATTAGCCATTGCAGCAGCGCAATGCATGCATTTAATTCAATTTGATGTAAAAACCGCATTTTTACATGGTTATATACAAGAAGACATCTACATGCAACAGCCATATGGTTATCAGCAGGACAGCAGAGTTTGTAAACTGCAAAAGAATTTATACGGTTTGAAGCAAGGTTCAAGGCAGTGGAATAGGCGAATCGTTGAATTTTTGCAGACTTTTGGCTTTAAGCAAGCTTGGGCTGATAAATGCGTATTTACGTATAATTTCGGCAACGACGTTATGTATCTGTTATTGTATGTCGATGACGGTCTTATATGTGGCAAAAATCGTGGTCTCATTCAGAATTTGTTGGACAAACTTCATACCTAGTTTGAAATTACCTACAAAGATGCTGAATATTTTGTCGGAATGCAAATTGAGATCGACACAAAGCAAGAAAAACTAATTATTTCTCAAAATATTTATACTTTAAAAATATTAGAACGTTTTAATTATTCTAATTGTTTTGCAGTTTCAACACCTACAGAAATGGGCAAACATTTTTAAAAATCTACTATAGATGGTCCGAAAGCAAAATTTCCATATCGGGAGGCGATTGGTTCTTTAATGTACCTCATGGTGTGTATTGAATCGTTTCCTTGAAAATCCATCTGAAATTCATTGACAAGGAGTTAAGCATGTTTTTAGATATATAAAGGGCACACTTGAGTATGGCGTATCATTTAACCTAAATTCAAGTGATACTGAGCTCGTCATGTATTGCGATGCAGATTGGGGCAATGACATTGATACCCGTCGCAGCATTTCTGGTTGGATTGCATTCATAAATGGTGGTCCTGTTAGTTATAGTTCTAGGCGACAGAGTGTAATTGCAACATCTACTACTGAAGCAGAGTTTTTATCAATTTGTGCAGCAACAAAAGCAGTTGTATGGCTGCGCAAGCTTACAAGCGATGTAAATTGCAAACAATATGGTGCTACTATTATTAACTGTGACAACCAAAAGGCAATAGAGTTAGTTAAGAATCCAGATTCATCAAAGCGAACTAAGCACATCGCTATACAATACTTTTACTCCTGTGATATGCAAGTTACTGGTGAAATTAACATGAAGTATGTCGAAAGCAGCAAACAACTTGCGGATGCTCTTACAAAATCTCTTAATAAAATTAAGTTTGAAATATTGATAAGCCAATATGGTCTAGCTAAAGTTTGTAATAAAAAAAAGCGAGAAGGAGTGTTGAATATTACGCTTTTCTTTAAACATTTTTGTAACATCCTAATACTACGTTTTGGGATAGAAACTTTTATTGTTAATTTGCAAACACTTGTTTTATGTTAAAAAGCTCTCTCTTGCTTCCGGTTTTTATTCCGAAAATACTTTTGTTCTTTCACGTGTTAGCTAAACATCACATCACATGTATATATCTTTATTCATTATATTATATCAAATTCAGTAGAAGTGATTTAATAAAGTCATCCATTGATATCAAGTTAAAATATCACAACATTTTCCTCTATGCACTGTATTTTATTTTCGGCGTAAATAGGAAGATTTTTCAAGATTGATTGATTATTGGACATCCTTTTCCGCAATTTCAATCCATCGCTGCTTAAACATTTGAAAATTGTATTGATTTTATTTTTACAATCTAATTTTGTATCAGCGCCAGTCAAGAGATCATTCATATAAAAATCATTTTTAATTTTATTTTTAATAAGAATGCCTCTATTATAGTGTCAGCAATTTGTTGTAATGTGCGAATTGCTGAAAATGGAGCCGAAGCAGTTCCAAAAGTGACTGTGGTTAGTTTAAATTCCTCAATTATGTCTGTTGGATTTTCTCTCCAGAGTATGCGTTGATAATCTTGATGCTCTTCTGCAATTTTTATTTGTCTAAACATATTTTCCACATCTGGTGTCACCACGAATTTCCATAATCTCCATTTTATTATTATGTCAAATATATCTTTTTGTAATCGCGGTCCGATCATCATGATATTATTAAGACTATTTCCATTAGTTGTTTTAGCGGACGCATCAAAAACTACACGTAGTTTCGATGTTGAACTTGCTTCTCTAATTACAGCCTGATGTGGCATATAGTACAACCCTTCATTTTGATTTTCTGCTTTAACCATATGACCTAAACGTTCGTATTCTCGCATAAACTCTATGTATTCTGACTTAATTTCTTTCTTCATTTCCTTCTCTAGGCTGATTAGTCTAACTACTGCTTGTTTTCTAGAATTCCCTAAGGACAATTCTTCTTTAAATGGAATTTGCACAATGTATCTACCATCTGTATCTTTTGTTGTAGTTGTTTTATATAGTTCTTGACATTTTTCATCTTCTTGTAAGTTTGTGCTTTTTTCATCAAACTTCAAAGAGAAGTTTACTTTGAAAAATAGAAATTGACAATCAAATTTTTAGGCATACACAGGCATTTTGAACAGAGCAAAAATAAATGTTAGTAATAAATAACTTTTAATAAATATTAAAAAAACTCATATTAAGAGTCAACATTACTACATTGGTGACCTTCGACGGTTGGAAATAAGTGTTACGGTAGTTAATAATAATTGAAGCTGTGATTATGAAAAAATTCAAAACATGTCGCAAGAAGCAGACATTAATGTCGTGCATGATGTTAACGATATGCTAACAGTTAATAGCGCGCAAATTAACACCCGAGCTGGTGACATTTTCCGCATAGGAGTAAAAGCACCTGCTTTCAGCAAGCGAGATTCAGATCTATATTTCATATAGATGGAGTCGCAGTTTCGAAACGCGGGCATAACAACGGATCAAACGAGGTACGACTACGTTGTCGGCAGCCTTGACAGCAACACATTGAGGAACATCGCCGATATCATACGTGCTCCACCTGCCGCTAATAAATATGAAGCAGTCAAAAAGCGATTGGTTCAAGATTTCGCGGATTCAGAGAATCGCAAACTACGACGTCTTATGCAAGAATATCAGTTAGGCGACCACAAGCCGTCACATTTGCTACGAACGATGCGCGATTTGTCTAGTGGCACCATGAACGATGGCGCAATTAAACAATTGTGGTTGGATTCTCTGCCAGAGGCTGTACGAGCGGTTGTGTCCATTTCAGATGTGGATTTGGATAAATGTGCGCAACAAGCAGATTTAATGCTGGAAATTGGAAATTGAAATTCTGTTTCTGAAGTGCATACCGGTGCGAGAAATGTAGGTGGCAATTCAACTGTGTCTTCTTCCTTCGATGTCAGGCATTTAGTGAATGGTGTGGAAGAACTCAGCAAGCAGTTATGAGAGACCAAAGAATCGCAACACAATTTCTGCTCACGAAGTAGATCGAACACACCAGTATAAACACAACATTCACGAACTCGTCCGGCAAGCTTGGTATCTAAATATCCAGTGTGCCTCTACCATAATTATTTTAGCGCAAATGAACGGAAATGTGCCAAGCCCTGCAGTTTCACAACCACGGAAAACTGAAATCCGCTTCGTCACCGGCGGTTGGCGAAGCAAAACGTTTTTACAAATCCAGCCGATTATATGTTTTAGATCCCTCGACACAATTGAAATTCCTTGTCGACACAGGTGTAGTTTTCTCAATTCTACTCGTTTCGGTCTTCGACAGAACTAAGCCGACAGCATCTGCCAAACTCTTGTACGCAGTAAACGGAACTTCAATACAAACCTACAGAAATAAATTGATGACGTTGAATCTTGGCCTGTGGCGCAACCTTGATTGGGAGTTCGTCGTAGCCGATGTATGCAAACCTATACTAGGAGCCGACTTTCTGCAATATTACGGTCTAGTTGTAGATTTGCAGCGAAAACACCTCGTTGACAGCAAAAGCAACATGAAAGTTCATTGTGCAACAGCGTTACATATGCCAGAGCCAGTATTCGCAGTGAATGCATTTCATACCTCGAAAATTTTCGAAAATTATTAGAAGAGTTCAAAGATCTAATACCAACATCGTATAACAAGTCTGGAGCAGCAAGAACCACGGTGCAACATCACATCGTTACCACGGGACAACCAGTCTATGCACGTCCCAGGCGGCTTAATCCACAAAGGTTGCAAGCAGCAAAAACTGAGTTCCAGTACATGCTTGATCAAGGCATATGCACTCCTTCAAAAAGCGAATGGGCCGCTACATATGGTGGAGATGAAGAGTGGTACTTGGAGGACGTGCGGAGATTACATACAACTCAATGCACAGACAGTTCCATATCATTACCAGATTCCGCACATTCAGGATTTTACTCAGAGTTTGAGTGACAAAGCCATCTTCACCACACTTGATTTGGAACGAGCTTACTTCAGTATACCAATAGCACCTGAGGACAGAAAGAAGACTGCTATAATCACACCATTCGGGTTGTTCGAATTCAATGTGATGACATTCGGGCTGTGCAATGTCGATCAAACTTTTCAACGGCTCATGGATCAAGTACTTAACGGTTTGAACTTCACAGTTTATTGTCAACATTACCAAGTGCGTGTTTGCTCAAACGGAAGTTACCTTTCTCGGTCACACTATTGATCAAAATGGCATTCGTCCGCCAAAAGAAAAGCAATACTCAATTGTCCGAAACCAAGCAGTGCGCAAGAACTTCGTCGTTTTTTGGGCATGTTGAATTTTTATCGTCGTTTCATTCTTAAATCGCAGAGGGAGCAGCATTGCACCATATCAGCGAAGGATGAATCAAACCACTTGGATTTTATTCAAAGCGATTGACTGGCACACAACGACGGTACAACACCTATGATAGAGAACTTCATCCATTTATCAAGCAATTAAGCAATTCAAACACATGGTAAGAGGCAGGAACTGTACGGTGTTGTCTGATCATAAACCCATCATTTTCGCATTTCAGAAAAATCCTGAAAAAGCATTGCCCAGACAACTTCGTCATTTGGATTACATAGGTCAGTTTACTACTGATATCAGTCATTTTCCTGGACAAGACAATAGCGTTGCTGATTTCTTATCACGTATTGAGGAAATACAGGGAGAAAAGCAGATTGACTTTGATAGGTTATCAAAAAGCCAACACAATGACCTGACTTTTATATGGACCCCCGTAGCGTGGAGCTAGTTTCGCGGCAAATTTCTGGTTTGCCTTTGAGCCTGGGTGTTGCTTGATCCACACCAGTTGGCCTATGTCTGGTTTCCAAGGTCTTCTTCGCAAATTGTAATACTTTGCCTGAGTTCCGCAGGCTTCTGCGATATTTGCCCGGACCACCGAAAACACCTGTTGTAGTTGTGATTGTTTCCGTTCTTGGTTCTTGGTGACTGCTCCACATTCTGGTATATATTTGTCAAAGGTTGCGCCTGGTAGTCTGGCTTCCCTCCCTTGAACTAGATAAATGGGGCTATAACCCGTAGTTTCAGATACCGCTAAATTGACTGCAAGCTTTACTTTACTTTACTTTACTTTGAAGTGGTTCCATGTTCTTTGCCGATTATTTGCATATTGAGCAATCATGATCTTTATTGTCTTGTTTGCTTGCTCCGAGGGATTTTCTTGCGGTGAGTATAGTGCCGTTCTTTGATGTCTGACTACAATTTCTTGCATGTAGCTTTCGAAGGATTTGTGGCGGAATTGTGGCCCATTATCTGTGATCAACACCTTGGGTACCCCAAAGTTTGCGATGACTTTTTCTCTGAACGTGGCTGTGGTGGCTTCGGTACTGGCCCTTCGCAATGGAATCAGTTCCACCCATTTACTGAAGCGGTCAAAAAAAACAAGTAACATCGTATTCCCCTTGCTCGATCTTGGTAGCGGACCGACAAAATCTGCACAGACAGTTGCCCATGGCTCCTCGGGTATTTGAGTGAGCATTTCGCCTGCCGGTTTTAATTGACT